GATACAAATTTAGGTTTCCTCTATTTCTTGTAACTACTGGTAGCATATTCAATCACGAACATGTTTCTCACATGGTACAATCCTTTTATGAAATCCATGAAAACATTTTATGTATATCTCAGTGCAAATGCCAAATTAGCTAGTTAAATGTGTATATTCCTTAGTCATTTTTATGTCATACCCTTTTCATCACCAAGAAATTCAGAGAGAGAGAGAGAGAAAAATAAAAACAAAACAAAACACATTTTATTGTTGAGCAACGATCATCTCTCTTTTTTTCTCTCTCAGATTTTAGTATTACTTTGAATTCAGTTTTCTAAATTTGCCCTGCTGAGCCCGTCAGGGTTTTGCTGAAATACTGCAACACTGCAAGTTAGTTTTCTCTTGTAGACAAGGTCCTGAGAAAACAGTTCCAAGACTGGGGCACTTGGTTCCAGAGTGTGTTATTTTGGTATTCCTTCATAGTTTGTAGGTAGTGGAAACTTTACTCAAGGCAGAATACCAAAAGAGAGTTTGTTAAATCTCATATTCTAATTCTCTATTTTTTTGTCCTCTTAACTCTTTGATGTTCCTACATAAAAAAAGTTCTGGCTATGTGTTTGGGGAATTCTGTCAAGTATGTGTGTGTGGGGGGGGTGGGATGATAGTGTATGAAGCGGTGACAGAGCTGTTACTAACATAAGACTCCACTGTCTACTAAGATTTGCTCTCTCCAATTCTGGTCTTGTCTGTGTTTTCTCATGAAACAGGGGTTACAGCAAATGGCAGTGAGAGGGCTTCAGGGTTGGCTCTGAGTGACCCTGAAATCACCACATCCATGAACGGCAATGTTTTTAGATGTATTACTGAGTACAGTTTTTCAAGAGACCTGGGCCCAAGGAGCTCCCCTACCATACAAGTAGGGCTGTGTCAAGGACAGTGCCATGACATCCCCACACTCCTCTTTCTCACATACTAGCTACATGACATTTATGGAAACTCAGGCTCTATGTCCACTTTACAATGATTTTTATAAGCTTGATATTACCTCGACCTCTCTACCTTATTTAGAATGTCAGTATTTCTAATTTATCCCTAAATTCTTAGAAAATGTTTGAAATGCATTGTTCAGAATTTAGAACTCAAAACTTTACATGCTGAGTCAGTCAACACAATTTAGTTTCGTGACATTGAGACACATGGATTTTGTTGCAGTTTTAGATCTCTTGTGCCTCAGAGGCCTGGTTTTGAAAAAACAAAATAAAACAAATGTTTGGATGTCTAAGTACCTGGACTCCCCAGAGGATTAGTTTGGCACTGGCTACAACACTGCATAAGCCAGATGTGTGGACATCTGTAAAGGTCAGTGTGATAACATGAAAACAATCTCTAGGATATTAAAAGCAAATGTGAAAATTGTAACATAGTTCACGCAAATGTTTCTTTGTTCGGAGTGAGGAAAAGGTAAGCTAACCTGTGAGACTTAATCATGCACTGGATACATTTACATTCAGTGAAGTCATCGTGCATGCTTTGGTTAATATTTGAGTAGGCAGATTGGCAAGTACTAATGCATGCGATATTCTTGTACCTGAGGTTATATGTTTTACTTTTTTAAAATTACCTTTTTACAAACGTATGCCAGAGTTCATCTGTGGACACTCTTTAAAAATATATATATATGTGTGTTTACTTAGTTTCAAACCAGTTCGGTTCCAACCAGTTCTATCAATACTGAGATGACAGGGAGACTGTGCAGTAAAATCAGAATAGGGAATGAATCTGAAATGATTAGATAAAGTTGAAATCATGTGTGTGCATGTGTAATAATCTCTAAAACAGGAGGCCTCAACACAATGGCACATGAATGAAAGTTACAGAATACCCTGTTTCTAAAATGCTCCTAGGATCATGCCAAGGTATAAAAGAATAATAACAACAGCAACAACAGTGACAATGACAATGCACTTAGGTACAGTCTAGTCTTGTGGAACTGATTCAGGGGCAATGGGGAAGGGACACAGTAAAATCGTGTTGCTTTCTCTATATTCCCAAGGAGCTCACAAAGTGTACAGTAAAGAGTCTGGAAGCTCTTGTTATAAACAGAACGAGCTAGAATTGTGTTCCAGTCTTGCTTGTATCCAACTGACCAGGAAGATTTGTCTGGTACCATTATCTAGACATGGGCCCAAGGTTCAGTATCATAATTCTCTTTACAGAAAAGAATGAGGACAGTGGCATAGAACTTGAGAACTGAGTGACTTGAGCATTGCTACCCAGTTATGTATCAACAATTTGCTGTTCTAGTAGAAATCCATATAGGATGAGAAAGAACAGCTCATAGTTTTGTACTCACGTTTTCTGGTCAGCAAGATTTTCCTTGCTTTTAGGAGTCATGGGAAGGGCTTTTGGCAGAATGCAAAGGGAAAGAGCAGTCCATATGATCGGCCCAGTCAAGGATTCTTTATCCCTTCTCCTCACTGCTAGGGTGCAGCAGCTCCTTGAAATACTACTAGACATAGTTAGGGCGCATTTTGAAACTCAGCAAGATCACTGGCTTTCTCTACATTTTCATTCAATCTACTGGGGAAGTCAGCCCCTCAAAGTCCCATCTGTGCAACTGAGCAGACATTCTAGTGAAAGAATGCCATCATATAAGGGCTCTTAGGTATCTTAGAAATACAAGGAAAAAAAAAAAAAAAAAAAGGAAAGAAAGAAATGCAAAGCCTATTCTGAGTTCTAGTAGCCTCAGAAGGGAGCCAAGAATAACCTACCCTTTCAGATGGAAGGAGTAATTTAGATGACAATTTCAAGCCCTGAGGATGAGATGCCCAAAGCAGTTCTGCCTAAAAATGTTTCTATATTAGGAAAAAACAAAACAAACTGGTGTTATACAAGAAAGATGGTTCAAAAGTCTTTGTACTTAATTTTTAGTGATGCTCTGACTTCTGTATACTTTTTGTTCACTTTTCAGTATCTGTTTTTACTTAATTTTGGAAAAATATTATTGAAAAATGCAGCTCTTTTCCTCTTGGGCAGTGATTCTGGACTTCCTGACAGGTAATGATTTATGAAAATCTTGGTTCTGATGGATACTAGACATATTGGAGGAAGTCCAACCTAATGCTCTGTAATTACTGAATGGTGGTGGGAACAGAAACTTGTATTTTCTCCCCTGAGACAGCTCCTTGGAGTTTGAACTTACTTCGTATTCCAACAGCAAAATAAAACTGGGGCCATAAAAATCTGCCATCACTTCGTAACGGTCAAATTCAACCAAACTATCCCACATTTACACTATTCTCAGGCTTAAATTGTTACTGGTCTCATGCATGTATTATCAGCGATGCTAAGCAAACAGTTATCATTATTTTTGTAAATTCATTTACTGTGGAGAATATAGAATGGTATCACAAACAGAACACCTGTCAAGTTTGTTTTGAATTCTTCTGAGGTTTCTATTAGATTATGACGGATTCAAGTCAATTGCAGCTAGTGAACATACAGGCACTGGGAGAAGAAGGAACAGGTGGAGAACGGAGGATGTTCCATCAGGAGTATCCAAGCAGGGAGATGCCCTGGGTGGGAGGCTGGTTCCTGACAGGCCTTCCCACACTGAGTCTCTAAGATTCTAAAATTCTAAAGAAGCGCATTTTTGAAGCTACTGTTGGGCTTCACTTTCTGAGACTGCAGGGAGGCAGCCCAAGACGGGGTTGTTGTTGTCGTTGTGTGCCATAGAGTTGATTCTGCCTCATGGTCCCCATGTGACAGAGTAGAACTAGCCCATAGGGTTTTCTAGGCTGTAATTTTTACAGGAACAGATCGCCAGGTCTTAGAATTCTCTCATGAAGTCTCGGGGTGGATTCAAACTGCCGACCTTTCTGTTAGCAGCTGAGCCACTATTGCCCAGCTGGGATTGTCTTAAATGCTTCTGCATTCTGCCACCCAGCTGGGGGTGTCACTTTGGCCAATTGAACTCTGGCAAAGATTATCCAAACCTGGCAGCCAGCACAGTGCCCTCACCTCTTTGTTTTTACAAAGCAGAACATGTGGTTTCTCATATGAGCCTCAAGAAGCTGCGGTTCCCTGTTAATTTGAGTGGCCCCTCCCCACACATCCCCTAGTCACAGGGACTTCAAACATCACAGAGCAGAGGGTTTCTACCTGCATCCAGAGTTCAATGTCTCAGCATGTACATTTTTTCCATCAAGCAGAAGCAATTTTCCAGTCAAGCTGTTTTGGCCCACATTTTTTGTTTGGTAACTCAAATCATGACTTTAACCAGCTATTACTAACCAAAGAATAGGAAGAAAAAGTTAGCATCAGACTACTTTGGGGAAGGTTCAAGAGGAAGGAAGGAGACAAAGTGAAGAAGAATGGAGGCAGCTTACTAGAAGTAGTCATTGGTAAAATTATATTTTGGTCAGCATTTTGCAAATAATTCTAATTTTTTTTTAATGCTATCCTCCAAAATAATCTCAAGCCCCAAACATACATGACACACTGAAGAGCTAAGTGGGATGTAACCAATTAAATGAAACACCACTGCTAACAGAAAATTCTTGATATTCGATCCATGTTCAAAATAAGAGCCAAAAGGGCATGCATCATTCATAGGAAACCATTGACACTGAGTGACATTCAGTCAGAAAATATTGTTCTTCTATCTCACAGAATGCAAAGGGGTGAGCAGTACAGATTATTAGGAGCTAAGAAGACAATTTTTAGGAAAAATGTATTTATCACTCTTAAGAAATATCATTTCAAATATTAACAGTTCCAAAGGAATATTTGTGTGCAGGGCAGTTAGAAAGCCAGTATCATAGGACACTTAAGCAAGTTCATGTGAACTCAGTAAAATCACAATGACATCAAACGTTCTTCCTGCTGAAAGAGATGGTACCTTGTCTCCTTGCTCAAGTTCATACAGTCCCAGAATGCATGTGAACAAGATCTGGGTTTGAAATATTTATACTCTATGCTATATCCGCTTTAAGAAAAACATACCTTCAAAACGCTAAACTATGAAAAACTATTCAGAAATTTTTATTTGGTCCGTTGATCTAACCAGGCTGAGTTCTCAAATCTTTCACTCCCAAGTTAAAAATTGGAGCAACAAAACAAAACTCCAGCAAGGCATAAATGAGCTATTAAAGTGCATCTGGACAGTCCCAGAAAAGTTTCAATTGGGAACAGCAAAAATTTCTAGTGCAAAAATTGCTTTTGCCAGCAAAGCTTCCTTTCTGGAATCAAAGGGCTACAGGAAAAGTTAAAATCAGAACAGGTTTAAGCAACGCCTCTCTTGAGTCAAGAGTTAATATATGTGCATGCACCAATGGCCCAAACTATGTTCAATTTTGTAAAAGGGGGAACTTCAGGGACAGTTCAGAAACAGTCAGAATCCCATGATCCGAGGCACTGCTTTCTCCACGTGTTCCATGAGCAAGTTCCTTTGCCGGGCCATCAGCTGCAACTGGGGACAAAAAACCCAAACAACATGTTTTGCAACGTGCTTGCAACTTGTGAAGTGTACTGTATTCAGAGTCACTTTATCTTGGTTTGTCTTGAGTCTTCAATTCTTCCTTCAAGACCAACCTTAACTCTATAGACAACATTTTGTGCTTTTGGATCTGAACAAAAACCGGGCATTGTCTGTAGGAACTCCCTTGGGTTACATGACCATGGCCTTTTGAACATTTGATTTATCCTTTTGGAAATTCATAATAAAATAGTTTTGCGTTTCTCAGGACAATTACACAGATGAGGGCTTCTTCTTTTTCTTTTCCCTTTTCTTTCAAGGATCCAAGTTAAAAGCTCTTAGGAGGACATCCAGGTCACCGAGATTAGCTGCCTGAAAGAGCTCTGGCTGGTCCATCAGAGAGAGCGCAATTCTGAGGGCAGCCCAGATGTTCCCCGAAATTGCAGGATGAGGAACTTGCTGTTGATTTCTGCTCTTTCTTTGCAAACTGAGGGCAGTGAGAAAATTGCTGACCGCTTCTCTAAGGGGGTAGAAAAACACACATTTTAAATGCAACTAATTTTCAGAGGGAGCAAACTCTGGGGAAAAAAAAAGGATGACGTTTTCCTAAGAAGCCTTGATGGTACAGTGGTTAAATGTTTGGCTGCTAATCCACAGGTTGGTGGTTTAAACCTACGGCCTGCTCCATAAGGCAAATATGAAGCAGTCTACTTCTGTGAAGACTGACTGCTTTGGAGACCGTATGGGACAGTTTTACCCCATGCTATAGGGTTGCTCTAAGTTGCAACTGACGTGATGGCAACAAGTTTGATTTTTTGTTTTTTTTGAACAGTCCCAAATCCTAAATCACCTGTGTATGGTGCTTTGGACAATCCAATGAACAATTTTCTGATTCTTTCATTAGTCTTTTATGAAAAGTAATTATTAAACATAGTGGAATGAGAAAGAAAAAAGGCTTATTTGTATTTTAGGAATATCATATGGGAGAGGAAGAGTACTATTAAAACTACTGCAAACTCAGCAAATGCATTTGCTTTTCCCCTACTGCAGGGATGACTGGAAGACTTAATCCATTTGCAGATGCGAGTTCCATGAAAAACAAAACAAACTCAGTAGCTATCGAGTTGATTCTGACTCATGCCAATCCTACATGTGTCAAAGTAGAACTGTGCTTTATAGTGTTTTCAGTGGCTGAGTTTTTGGAAGTAGATAGCCAGGCCTATATTCTGACACACTTCTGGGTAGACGGACTCTCCAACCATTTGGATTTAGGGATTTCCTTAGCTGGGGTTTAAGAGGAAGAATCTGGTTCTACTTTAGAAACTAAGTGGCCTAAATGTTCTTAATAGTGATAGAAATTTGGGAAACAGCTGGGGTAGAGTTGAGGTTATCACTGGATTCGAAACCAAGTTATTCAGTTGTAGGAAAGTTGCTTAATTTCTCCAAGCCTCAGTTTCCCTGACTTTATATACTAGGGACAAAGAAGTCATTTTAAAACCTTGTTGTAAAGCACAGTTGACTTCATTTATGTGAAAGCTCTTATCATTAAGTTAGATCAGCAGTTCTCAACATGTGGTCTGGAGGGAGACCCTAGGGGGATCAGGGAGGTCAAAATCAGTATTATGATAACACTGAGCTGTTATTTGACCTTTCACTCTCATTCTCTCATGGCGCCACAGTGGAGCGTTTTCCATAGGCTACCTGTCATGTGACATCCCAACTAGCTGAATGTAAGAGCAGAGGTGAAAATCCTCTGCTAAACAAGATACTAAAGCAATTTACAAAACCGTAAAACAATGACACTCTTCTCCTGAATTATTATTATTTTTTGCTTTGTAAAGTAATTAGTTCTCATAAACTTATGTTACTTATGGTAACGTGATAAGTTTATTATTTTTTAAAATGAATATTAAAATTTTTCTCCGTTTAATTTCTAATACAATAAGTCTCAATAGATATAAACCACATAACAAGTCCATGGGATCTTCAGTAACTGTTAAAAGTGTAAAAGGGTCCTGAGAACACAAAGTCTGAGACCCTCTGAGTTAGATGTGTGCAAAGTCCATCTAGCGGCTCCTTGACTCCTCCTCCCTAACTCTGCTCCCTGTGCTCACGTGTCAGATGGACCTGTTGCTTCTGCCCTCTTCAGCATCCCCATGTTACCCCACACTTGTATTATGTGTCTGACAAACTGACCCTCACTAAGAATAATCATGCCACTTTGATTTGTATCAGTTTTATGCTTCTCAAACACACACACACACACACACACATACACACACATTCTCTCATTTAACCTGGCAAGGTAGTTATTATTAAAACCAGTTGCTCTTGAGTTGATCCCAGCTCCTAGTGACCCCCTGTGTGTTAGAGTAGAACGTGTTTCATAGGGGTTTCGATGGCTGAGTTTTCAGAAGGAGATCACCAGGCCTTTCTTCTGAGGTGCATCTGGGGGACCAGAACCTCCAACCTTTTGGTTGACAGCCAACACATTAACAGCCTGTATTACTCAAGGACTCGTGGTTATTAAGCATCTAGTAAAAAAAAAAAAAAAAAAAAAAAAAAACCTTGAAGAAAGTAAAGCTGGATTTCTAAGTCTAGGATATTCATTTGATGGCTTTTTATTACATTTATTGATCTATATTGTTAGATCTGCCCGAATAGAAGGCAATTGGGAAACGGTTGTATCAACCTGAGCAATAGAATGAGGTGGGAGTTCTAACCACCCGTTCTTCTGGTTTCTTGTAATCAACCAAGAGACACACATTTATAATGCAGTGCAGATAGGGAGTCTATGCTGGGTGCGCTTTCTGGATCCCTCTTCACAGAGTAGAGGCGCCAATGGTGATGACTGGGACTCCACACATAATCCCGGGCGGATAAGAATATTGGGGAAAAGAGGAACTTGGAGAATCCCCTCATTCACCATGCTCCTGGCCCTAGAGGGTGCCACAGTGATCTCTAACGGTGTTGGAGAGTAAACAAATAGTTTGGTTACTCTTTTTTGACCTCATTAGGCAAGCTCCAGGGTTTTTCATGAAGAGAATCTAAACCTACTCACCAGCTTGTAAACTAAGAGTCTTTTGGGGGACTCAGAAGATTGTATATGTGTGTGTGAATAATTTTAAAATATTTTGCACATATATGTATGAATAGTTTCAAATTGTGTCCACTGTCATGATTTATCAAAAATCAATTACTTAAAAGCATTACTTTATAGTAGCTATCCCTCTTTATAGTAACTGTTCTAGTCACCTCATACCACTCTAACAGAAGCTACCACAAATGGGTGGCTTTAACAAACAGAGATTTATTTTCTTACAGTTTAGAAGGCTAGAAGACCTAGTTCAAAATGTCAGTGTCTAGGGGTTGGGTGAAAGCTCCTTGACCTTGGGCTTCAGCTCTGCCTCTTGCTCCCAACCCACTGGAACTGGAAGCTTTTCTTAACTCAGGCAGCTATTGGCTCCTGAGGCTGACAACCCAAGGTTGACAAGTAAAAAGGCACAGTCCCAAGATTATTGGACAACATGGCAGGCCACTAGTTCAAGTCCAGAAAAAGTCCTAAGAGCAGCAGGGCATGACAGGCTGCTGAATAAAGACTTGGCTACACACTGGGTCCAAGTGTGCCAAAAAGCTGATGAGACCTTTCTCAATGCTGCTTCTTACATACTGGAAGCAGACCACCTCTCTAAGGCAGCTACTCAGCTACTCCAGTAGATTCCACCATGGAGCTGATTACTAATCTCATCATGGGGAATAACTACATCCAGCTGCCCAGCCACTCAAAACCAGGCCCAGCCAAGTTGATACACAACTTAACTCAAAAACCAAACTCAAGTTGATTAGACACACAGAGACCTCTCCTTGGGTTTCTGAGGTGGTATCTCTATGGAAGTAGATTGCCCAGTCTTCCTTTTGAGGAGTGGCTGGTGGATTTGAACCACCAGCCTTCTGGTTAGCAGTCAAATGCCTTAGGCACTATGCTCACCACAACTAAACTACCACCAAACCAGAAACTAAACTCACTGCCGGCCAGTCAAATCTGACTCATCATGGCCCCTCATGGGGTTTCCGAGGAGGTATCACTATGGAGTAGATTGCCCAATCTTTCTCTTGAGGAGTGGCTGGTGGGTTTGAACCACCAGCTTTCTGGTTACCAGTCACATGCCTTAGGCACTATGCCACCAGAGCTACCTTAACTGCCATGTTGTTGTTATGTGCCGTCGAGTTGGCCCCGACTCATAGTGACCCCTCCTTGGGGAGGAAGTATCACTACGGAAGTAGATTGCCCAACCTTCCTTCTGAGGAGTGGCTAGTGGGTTTGAACCGCCAGCCTTCTGGTCAGCAGTCAAGTGCCTTAGGCACTATGCTACCAGAGCTCCTTAAATGCCATAGTAATATTAAAAATACTACTAATAAAGGGGATGAGGGTTGCTCTATGAATTTTTTTTTCTTTTCATTAATAACACGTTCTCACTATTGAAAAGGTTAAGACCTATTGGTCTAAATTCTACTCTGGAGCGCCTATTGACAAAGGTGTAACACTTTAAGCTACACACAAATTTCACACCAACAGTTTCATTATTCCAATTGTATGCAGTACTAGGATAGGGCTTGTTTTTGCCTCTTTATTGAAAACGTGAGATGACAACCAGCAAGTGTTATAGCTACATTCAGAGACACCTGCAGTTCTTCAGGCAGAGGTCTTGATTTTTGTGGATATGGAATTATTTGTACCAGCTCCCTGCTTTCTTCTGTGCCACGTCTGGATTGAGGGCTGTTATTTCCAAAGCATACATTTAATTCCTTTTCAAAATTCATTTAAATGCTATGCTAATGGTCTTTTTTTCCTCAGGATAAAACACAAAATATTTATCAATCACTTCATGAGATTTCTAACATCTGACATGAAAACATAACAAAGCAGAGTGGAGATATTCCTAAATAGCCAATTGATTGGGCTGGGCAGATTTAGCAAATGAAAATCCAGAACACCCACCTCAATTTGAATTTCAGATACACAGTGGACAACTTTTAGCATAAGTATGTCCCATGCAATACACGGTATATACTTGTATCAAAAACTTATTTGTTATTTATCTGAAATTCAAACTTAACTGGGGATCCTGTATTTTATCTTACAGTCCTACAGTTGACTTTCTTCACTAGACTTTCTGCATGAAGGTTTTAAATTCATGCCTCAAAAAAGTCATCCATTTCTACATGTCATGGACTTTCATGTCGTCTGCAAATAGTTGCCGTGCTGAATCTTATAACTCTGAATGCCAAGGAAGTATTTTTTCTTGATGTTTTCTACATCAAGAAGTTACAATGGAGAAAAACTCATCCAAAAGCTTTATAAAAGCCTCGATGGCATTGAGTTTGGGTTTTTTTTTTTTTTTGGTTTTAGTTGAATTGGGTATATCTACATGGAGGCAGTGAGTTTGGTTTTTTGGTTTTTATTTATTTACATATCCCTTTGTCTAAAAAGAAAAAAAGAAGATCTAAAGTACCTTATAAAATACACAACGTGCTTGGAAAATAAATGAATAAAAGGGATAAAGAGGAAATTAAGTTAGGAAAATCAGCTGAAGCCAGGAATGATGTTAGTGTACCAAACAGGCATCATCCAGCCTCCCGCAGCTGATGTAAGGGAGGTGGCATGGCTCTGACAGCGGCACATTTCAGTGACCAGAAAATACAAACAAACCACTGCTTAGGCATCACTCAGCTCTTTCTGGCTCTGATCCGAGAAAGATCCTCTTACAAGGGCACAGTCTAATCCAATGATTACTACTCTATATAAGATTCTTTAGTAAAAATGCATCAACCAGTGTCTGAGACCACAATATCTGCCAAATGCACAATGCCCACATGCAGTGCAGGAAAAGCAATTTTTCAAGTGTCAAAGAATGCAATCTAGTTATGTAGCTCTTTGATGACTGATCTAAATAATAGCAATAATACTGATGATGATGGCAATGGTAATAATTATCATAATAAATGGCTACTAGGTACTGAGCATCTGCTCTGAGCTGGGCAACTACACTTAACCTGCACAATAATCCTCCAGGATGGGTACTGTTACCCTCTTTTTTTTTTTCCCCACAGGTGAAGAAATTAAGCTCAGGATTATGTTCAAAACCAGTAAAAGGCAGAGCTATGGGGTGAGTGTGAGCTTGTCTGAGTCTGAAAGTCTAGCTCTTTCTGAGAATGAGAAAGACTTCACATTTTTTTGGTGGGGCTTTAAATTGAGTATTTTTTTTACAATTCTATATATGAAAGTAATATCTGTTTATTTAGCAAACAGAAAAAATAAAACAGGGAGAAAAAAATCACCCACACTTTCATTACTCAAAAGAAATAATAGTCATTTATGGTCCCATTAATGGAAAAACATGGAAAGGATCTCGACCTGCATGATAATAACTAATAATGGGAGGATGAGAAAAATATTTTAAGCTATAAACTCAGCATCTTTTTCTTCCCTTTCTTTTACTCTCTCTTTCCCCCTACTTTTCCTTTTTTTTTTTTTTTGATAATTGTATTAGTAAATCAGGTTAGGAAATCTGAATTCTTGGCTGTGCTTTGCCCCAAACTGGCCCTGGGACCTTCTGAAGTTCTTCATTTTGTCGTCCCTCCCCATCATGGTTCTTTTTTCCTTACCTGGGAAATGAAGGGTTAAATGGGGGCAAGAGTTCTCAAATTGTTGACCTTGGGGTTATTAAAAACCTAGATAACTTATCCCAACCCAGGCCAACTAAATCCAAATCTCTGGAGAAGAGCTCTGGGAATCTACACTTTAACAAGATTCCCAAGGAATTCCTGATGTCTAAAGCTTGAGAATCACTAAAACACATAGTTCTGCTTAAATAAGCCTCAGAACCTGAAGGATCTACATTTAACCTTAACAGGAGAAGTGTGATGGCTAATTTTACGTGTCAACTAGGGGTTGTTTGGTCAAACACTAGTCTAGTTGTTGTGATGAAGATATTTACATGTGATTAATATTTAAATAAGTTGACTTTGAAGCAGATTACTCTCCACAGTGTGGGTGGGCCTTACCCAATCAGTTGAAGCCATTAAAAGCAAAAACTGAGGTTTCCTGTGGGAGAAGGATGCTGCCTCAAGACTGTAATGCAGCTTTTCTGCTGGAGTTTCCAACTTACTGCCTGAATTATCTCAGACCCAAGACTGCCAGAGCTGTCAGCCGGTTGCCCAGATTATTTGCACTTGTTAGCCTCCACAGTCTTGTCAGCCAATTCCTTAAAATCAGTCTCTCTCTCTCTCTCTCTCTCACACACACACGTACACACATGAACACACACAGGAGTCCCTGTGTACCACAGATAGTTAAGCACTGAACTACTAACTGCCAGGTCCGTAGTTCAAACCCACCAAGAAATACCTCCTAGAAGAGGTCTAGTGATCTGTTTTGAAAAGGTCACAGCCTTGAAAACCCAGTGGAGCACAGTTCTGCTCTGACACCCATGGGGCTGCCACGAGCTGGAACTGACTCAATGGCAACCAACAACAATACACACACACACACACATATATGCAGACATCAGTATCCATACCTTGCCCCTGCCCCAAATATATCTTACTGGGTCTGTTTCTCTGGAGAACTGTGACTAATTCAAGTAGACATTCTCCTACAAAAGGAGACATCTTTACTTGGAAACAACCTTTCAGGTTATTCAGCTTCAGCCTTGAGCATGGCTTTGGGTTCTCAGTTTGCTGCTATACTTCACCTGTAGGCACCCAGGTTGATGCAGCTTATTCCCAGATTGTATCTGGACCGAATGAAGCCTGGCTGGATCTCCAGTGCCCGTGTGTAGGCCTCCACGGCTTCCTCGCTGCGGTCTCCATTCGCCAAGGTCGCCCCGAGACGGTTCCATAATGAATAGTCCTGGTGACAAAAACAGAGCTCTAACAACCAGTGTAAGTCACAGTGACAGTGTAACTTCATGTTTGCCTGCAGGGGAAGGAAGATGATGAAAAATTTATCCAAGGGCTTAGGACTTACTAAAAAATCTTAATGGACAACTTTGTGAAATGACTTTCATTCATCAAACAGCTGCCAACCCTCTGATGCTACCATACAATTAATGCTTATATTTTAGGTATTTAAATATTAACAGTCAAATGAGCATATGGGTAATGGAACTTTAAATCATCAGAGGTAGGGAAATAAAGAAAGCAGAACAGAAAAGTATCAAGTATAGCCTGTGAAACTTATTTTTTGTAGAGAACCGTATGGTTTGTTATTGTGTGTGCACTTACCTCTGGCCGAACCGTTAAGGCAGCGTTAAATGCATCTATTGCTCTGTTAAATTCTCCACTCAGGTGGAACAGTACCCCCAGACCTGTCTGTAGGTCTGGGTCAATCAGATCTCCATTTTGGTGGGCAGCTTCCAGGTATAATTCCTTCACTCCTTCCAGAACAGAGCTACAAGGGGCAACATTAGATTTGTAATTCAAATTGTCTGAACAGAAAAAAATTTGCCACTTGGCTCTCTATTCCAAGAAACTTCTCTTCATTACATGCTAGAAGGGACCCTTCTCTGCAGAAGGATATCAGGCTTGCTGAAGTGGAGGGTCAAGTGAAAAAGGGGAAGACGCTCAACAAGATGGACTGACACAGGGGCTGCAGCGATGGGCTTAGGTATAGCAAGGATTGTGGGGCTGGCACAGGACCGGGCAGGGTTTCGTTCTATTGTACAGAGGGTTGCTATGAGTCGAAGCAGATTCAACAGCACCTAACAACAACAGAACTACAACAGCAGACTAGAAAAAGCTTTCTGAAAATAACCTTAGCTTAATGGAAGGACTGTCAATACTTCATGTTGAAAATACCTGCTGATTTTGTCATACACAGATAGAGGCTGAATATGGTCTTCACAAGAGAGTTCCATTGACCTATGAGTGCCAATGTAGAGAACCCCACAACTAAGTTTCCTGAGGCCCTAGTGCGAAATGATTTAGCATCATGATTTATTGCTGATAGAAACAAAATTTCTAGAGGCTAGGATCTCCATTTTTCCATGTTATACAACTTGGCACATCGGTACTCATTATAATTTACTTTAGGTGAATTGGGAGCTCTGGTGGCATAATGCCTAAGGCATTTGACTGCTAACCAGAAGGCTGGTGGTTCAAACCCACCAGCCACTCCTCGGAAAGAAGGTTGGGCAATCTACCTCTGTAGTGATACTGTCTCGGAAACCTAAGTAGGAGTCGCTGTGAGTCGGATCCGACTCAACAGCAGTTGAGTTTGGTTTGGTTTGGCTTGAAGTGAATTATATGTCCAAAGTATCTGGCTTTAAAACAGGGTGCCCAGATAAACATTTGTGAGAGTCCATAATATAGATGATGTGTTGGAAGGCTGGCTCTAGCATCAGTGATCAATCTTTTTAATTGGAGCTGTTCTTCTAGCAGAATGATGTCCTGTAAACCATCCTGGAGCAGGTGGTGGTGATGGTGGTGGTGGCAATCTGAGGCTCATTAATTATCTTTAAGGTGATAAATTGTGTTTATGGGTGTTTATCATTGGCTGTAATATAATGAGGAGGATACCTATCAACTGGAGACTTGGACATCCGCCGGGTGAGGCCTGGAGAGCCCTTCTTGCTCTTCACAAGGTATTTGTACTTTGGATTCTGCTTAATCCAATTCTTGAGCGCTTCACAGGCATCCTGCTGGTGGCCAGTGTTGGTGTAACTCACAGCCAGAGCCATCAAAGCTTTCAGGTTGTTGGGCTGTAATTCTAAGCACCTGAAAGAGGGCAAAAAGAAACAAAATGAGGCTATTTCAGGTTTTTTTTTTTGAACTAGAGTCCGTCAGTTCTTTAGAAAATGTGAAGTCTTTATTAATTAACACTGCAAACACATTGCTTGGTTTATTTATATCAGGTCCCTTGAAAACATCATATTTATCTGCAGTAAAATTGGGAACAAAGCATATTTTTAGAATAGCTAAAGGTCATCTTGGCGACTGGCAGTTTAGGCCATTTTAATTAATAGTTTTAAAACTGTAAGTTCTATAAAATATGGCTTATCCCTCCACATAATTTATTAGTAGTTAATCTGATGAGAAATAGGGGAGATTGTTATTTTAATTCTGCTCTATTTTAATTCTGGATATAGTCCAGTCCCAAAGCAAACTGACTTGAACTAAACTTGGATATTCTGAGATGAAAGACTGTCAGAGAACTGTTTTGCAAAGGATGGGGAAATTCCTATGTTTCCGGACTAGTGATAGTGTTTCCAGGAGGCATAGGCTACTGCAGCTCCTCATGCTGTTCCACTAGATAAACCTTGACATCTACTGGAATCACCTGGGGATCTTGTTAGATGCAGATGCTGGCACAGTGGCCTGGGGGAGATTTTGCACACAGGCCTAACCAACTCCCAGGTGATTATGCTGCTATCCAATGGCTAAGGCTTTGAGGAGCAAGCCCTAGGCAGTACTTAACATCTCCCTAGGGTGGTCTCAGTGTTCCAGAAACTTCTTAGCACCTGGTGGAGAAGTTCTCAATCCTGGATGCAGTTCAGAATACCTGGGCGAATTTTTAAAAATACTGAAGCTTGGACCTAAATAAGCAATGGACTTAAATAAGTCAAAAGACAAGTCTAAAACATAAGAACTGCATTAACGAGTGTCCCCCAGGACCACAATATTGCACTTAGCTTCCTCTACCTCTGGAGGGCGACAATAGCTGCTTGTTCATTTTCATTCTCAGCCTGGGTTATCCCGAGGAACTGCCATGCCTGCAAAAAACAGTGGATGTCAAATCAACCATGCAACTCACTGAGGTGGAGTTGGCTCCGACTCACAGTGACCCCTCTTTGGGTTTCCAAGGCGGTATCACTATGGAAGTAAATTGCCCAAAATGAGTCATGTGCTTGCGTTGGTTTGTTACCCTCTGATAGAGTGCTCTACGCAGAGTGACCTGACTCAGATGTGAGAGTTATATAAAAGGGACAAATATCACAGGGCATTTCTTCATTCAAACTTTCTAGTGACTTCTGGGTCAAGCTCTTTGCATTGTTTCCAAACCTTACAGAGTTGAGTCTCTCCTGAAACCTGGTGTTAATGGAAACTTTTGAGGTCCTGAGATTTTATAATATTAGATATCTTAAAATCAGAAGATAATTATATAAAATTAGACATTTTTGAGGAAAAGGGGTAGAAAAATGACCTAGAAATGCAGCTAGGTAGCCTAAAGCTTGCAAAAGGGATCCCAAGATGCACAAGAGGAAATGAAATGTATAAAACGAAAATCAAACAATTATTAGAAAAGTTATAGGAAATTTAGGAACTAGGGAAAGCAAAAATCCCACAATGTAGTCACTCCTCTAATATAATTACTTTTAAAATGTATAAAACACATGTAAAATGCAGTCATAATGTACACATAATTTTATTGTCTATGGCATAGTGGCTAAGTCATCTGACTTCTAACCAGAAGGCTGGCAGTTCAAACCCACCAGCCACTCCCTGTAAGAAAGATTGGGCAATCTACTTCCATAGTGACACCACCTCAGAAACCCAAGGAGGGGTCACTAAGAGTTGGATACAACTTGAAGGCAGTGAGTTTGTGTAACACTTTATATTGTATTATAAGCATTTTCTATATTTTTATAAAATCTTCATACTTTTAGTTTTTAATTTTGTTAAATGAATAGCCCATTACTCAACTAATTCCCTTACTGCTCTATGGCTGTTTTCAATCCTTTGGTATTACAAATTTAGGAGCTCTGGTAGCATAGTGGCTAAAGCACTTGACTGCTAACCAGAAGGCTGGCGGTTCAAACCC